CACAATATAACATAGATCAAGTTGTAATTTTAATATGTACCTTTAAAAATATAAATATAGATTCAAGGTAACATTTCAAGGCGAAAATGTTATGCCGGATATTGATTTTCTTTTCCTGAATAATATAGTTTATGCCGGATATTGATTTTCTTTTCCTGAATAATATAGTTTTATTGTAATGTGGTTGTATTAAAAGTGCATACAGATGGAGATATGGTAATTGACAGTGAAAAAGATAGCACGTGACCATATCTTTCTTATTCCATATGTTTTACAAATTTCCAAGTAGGCCTATTTGACTTCCTATTAAACTGCTAACAAATACATTGTGGCCTACACAGTGTTTAGTTAGCTTCCAATTCAGTTCAAATTCAGTTAGATTTTTGCTTTCATCAAGTTACAACCTCTACAACATGTTCTTTTAGTACAAAATTAATTGTCCTCATAAATGAAAAGGAATACACAAACAAGCATAATTATGCTTTATACATTCTTCACGACCTTGAAGAAAACACTAATTATACAAAAATACAGACACATATACACGTAACATACTGTACACTATTATGCATATGCAGACCTTCATACAATACATACGGTACACATTTAAAAGTATTATGAAAACGACCACGTATGTACACAAGTAAAATCAAAATAAATATACTGTAATTAATTTTATGAACAATTGCATGCTGTAAAGTAGGTTATAGCTTTGAAATTCTGCAAAGGTGAAATTTTAAAAGAAAGTTTAAATGTCATCACAAATATAGCATTTGCTAAGGCAGCATTTAGTTAATTTTCTATAAAATATTCTTTTAGTTTTTACAGTAAAAGAGGACCAACCCTTTAAAATAAAAAAAATAAAAAAATGTATTTGTGCCAAGTTGTGTTGAAATCTGCATATACAGTGCATCACCTCTAATTCCGAGATCCTTCTAATTCGACCACTTTCTAAAAGAACCAAAATAGACATTCCTCAATCTATTAACCACTAATCTAACACTCAATGTTGTTACCAAACCCAAGATCACCCAAAATATTCAGGTGCCAAAGGTCATACTCGAATTGGAGGGTGAACTGTAATTGCACCTTAGAGTTGGATTGAAGCTGTAGCGCGGTGGTCGGCACCCACTAGCCCACACTGATCCATTATTTTCATCACTAAATTTATTAAAATTAAATTACAACACAAGTTTGTATTCTTTTTCGTTAAAATTCCTACTTCCAAAATTACACTAACAGAACTATGATTGACCTTCATATTCTCCCGCACCAAAAAAAAAAAATCTTCATTTCAAAACATCATTTGTCGACTTAATATACTATCTAACAAATAGATTATATACTGCATATACAATTGTATTTAGTTTCGAATGAACTTAAACCAACTGTTTTATTAGAAATGTATCTGCGTCAAACTGTGTTGTCATCGGCATAGTTAAACGTGTACGGTATACATGGAGTTGAGCTGTAACTTGGTGGTTAAGAGGAAAAGGTGTAGGAGAATAACCCATAACTTTCAGCGTCATTGTGATGATTTGTGTATAGGCGTGGTCCGTGACTACCTAGCAGCCGTAAATAGGCGCTTCATGGTAGATACATGTTCACATCATTCCACAACGAGAGGGGCTGAAAGATGCTTGACAGGGTACTGTGTTCAATTCCTTTCGGAAAAAGGATTTCCCCCAAAACGAAAACAACACCACTCCTTAGGCCTCATATGAAACTTATGTAGAGCATCATGTATATACGATAATGTCTTCTGTAAGATTTAATTAAAAAAGACAGTGATTAATTTCGCCGTTGTCAATTATTGGTCCATTTGGAAAATGAGTAAAAATATGTACCAGGCAAGGGTATTAAAACTTGCAGTCATGCCTCAATTGGCATGGTTTCTTACCATTATCATTTACACAACTTCCTCCAGACTAATCATCTAATACGTTCCCAATTTTTATCCATTTAATCATAATCTCCATGTATTGAATAGGCCTGCTGTATTTATTGTAAAGTTTCATCTCGAGCGATTGCTTTTACCATAAAGATGAATTTTGAAATTCAACAAGTTGGTTTGTTTATGTTCGAAATATAATGTTCAGGAGTATCGAGAAGCGGTCACACGTAGTGCGCTGAGCTTTAACCCGTGCTCTGTCTTCATATCAAATTCTTTTAATTTTTTTGTATGGTTTTGAATATATAATTATATACATTGTATAAACCAGAATAATATTCATGCTAACAGCTATTGTCTTTAATAATTATTACATTAAAAAAAATAATTATTTTCAGATTGAGGAATTAACCAAAGATGACTTACTTCACTATTTTGGAACGGTAGACCATTCACAAGGTAAATGTTCAAGATTGTATAGTAGGCATTTAACCATTTCTTTAATAAATGTTATGCTCCGCTTTGCATCACTTAATTTCTGTTGAAGCAGAATTTATGTAAAACTAGTATTAAATTAACTAACTCATTACTAGTCTTTTAATACTTCTTAATTATTTCTTGTTACAGTTTCCGGTTATGACACTACGGTTGTTTCGAGACGCGACACGGGCGCACACAAACGCTCGGTGGAGGCTACAGCCTCATATTCATTCAACGCACTTGGAGAAAAGTTTAAACTCAGCTTAGAGATGAATTTAAGTATGTCATTATATTGTTTCATTAATATAATTTGTAGTATCATGCATCCTATTTAACCAATCACCGATTTTGAAACTGTCACTCGTTAAACAACATTTACTTTTTTCAGCTCACGATAACTTTTTTTTAATCTTATGTCAGATTTATTTTCAAATGACTTCGTAATTGAGCGAATTGGCGCCAATGGTAGTAGCACGCTGGACAAGCCTAAAAACACGAACTGTTACTACGTCGGATCGTCTGCCAACCATAACAATTCACTTGCCGCCGTCAGCACTTGCAATGGTCTGGTAAGTAAAAACAGGGGCCAATGCAAGGTTATAGCCTATGAATAATTATATAACTAATAAACAACTATATTCATGTCATTAAACTTTATACATAAACGGGTTCATCGCAGATAGCAGTGGTGGCGCTGCGAATGGAGTAGGGGGCGTGCTGAATGTCACTCGTCGGACACACATTGATTCCTTGCACCGAGCCTGGACCTCGCAAAACGTCATGATCGTTGATAACATATATGTCTTTGGCAATTTATTCAGTTTGAAAAGGATGAGCCAAGACAAAATGTTGAAATTTCGGTAGTTTCACAAACTTTAAAATGTGAATGTCTGTATAAAAATTAAAAAAAAAAAAAATCCCGTAAGACTGTTTATTTTAATTCTTTAAAAATTATGTTTAAATTTGAAATATTGTGTATACAGGAAGGAATGGTCAACACGGGTAAAAACAGTTTTTTCATAAAACCCCTAAAACCTGAACACCGTAGACGAAGGAGTTTAAGGTCCACTGATGGGGAGACAACACACGTGGTATTTACACGGGAAGATTCAGCCGGGACCTGTGGTGTGACCCCAGATGACGAAGGAGAGCAATTGCTAAGAACTAGAAGCTTGGATACAGAAATTGCTCGTAAGTCATCATTTCAACATTTGGAAATAATAATGACACTATATAACAATAATGATGATGATAAGAACAATTAATTGTAATTATTAGTAAAAACATAATTATAACAACATTATTAACTATGATGCTTGATAAAATATTGATACAATTAATGATAGTATGGCACAAACGTGTGATGATGATATGATGTTGAAATTGATTATGATGATATGATAATATTGATAATAATGGTTGTCTGATGATGATAATATTGCCGGAAAATTTTGGAATGATATCACTATAAACGCCTTACTCTGTAGTATGGACATTTCGTGGCAAAGAAATATAGGCTTTCATTAAAATTTATAGGTCTATCATCTTTAATAAGACACCAAATTCGTAAACTTACAGCATTTCCGAATTTTCAACATCTAAATCCTGCAAGAGTTTGGCTCCAACATTCCTCATTATACAAATAAAGTTAATCTCAACAGTATAAAACCCACAAAAAAGAATATCATAAAGGCGATAATTATGTCAAGTGCAACGTTTATACAAAACACATATCAATGTCGCGGTGATTAGAATAAACATTTTATATTACAAAGTGTTGGCATTGATCTTTATTTCATATGATGTAACAGAACTTGTTTTCATTGACATTTTATCGATATACTGTATGGTTATTAACGGTGCGTGTAATAACAAATTAACAATGGCAACGCGGAGACTTACATTAATGCAATAAAACAGTAAAGCGCCAGAGCAAGCGTAAGGCGCTGACGCAGCGTAACATTGGGAATTGGTTAGCACTCAAAACTGCTTTATGAAATTCGATAAGATCAGGTCAGTTTGACATCGGAGGTCTTTACTAGTTTTGATGATGATTGTGTCGATGTAATTCTTGTTTGGAACTTCTAATACCAGTTGTCGCAGGTTCGAATCCTGCCAGAATCCAACTGAAAAATGTTCAGCACCTGGAGTGTATCATTTCACATCTTTAAGGTTATAATGTACAGGTCTATCAGCACTGTTATTATTATTTATTTATTTGTGTATATATTATGCAGTTTGTATATTATATACGGGGTTATTTAGAAATTAAAGATTACCGTAATTTATTATTGACTCGTCTATAGTGTTGAAAAAAAGTATATAAATAACAGTTTTAATAACACAGCACGCGTCATGGGAGCGTTACAACAGATGTAGAATTTCTAGACCGCTATGATGAGAAAATAATACAGTACTATAATAATTTGAATAATATAACTAATTCTTAATAAATCAAGGGTAGATTAAACATTCGACTAAAATAGCATTTATACCCTAGATCTGATACAGAGCATGGAACTAAAACGCGTCGTGTATACATGAAGTTAGTTACATTCCAATAAAACATTTGAATTTAAATGTCGTAAGTATTATAAACATTTGTAATACAACACGGTAATGGCGTTTATTGACATCTCAAATTAGTGTACGCATTAACCTTTCTATCGGGTGTACCGGTACATCGTAAAGACTAATTCATTACTTAACCAAATATAGTGTCACTGAAATTGTTATTTACTATATAGGCCTACATAAAATTTATATAGAATACGTAATATTATTAAAATAAATATGTGAGGAACTACAAATGTACTTGGTTACCATAGAGAGGTAGCTTTTATGACGAATTACCGGTACTAATATTAATTTATGAAGTTTTTACTGACTTGCGCTCTGCTATATGCCAGTCAATTAATTTTTATTCAGTTATAATACCGTATGCTGTATTTACAAAGACAAATTAATCTCCCATTTTCCACCAATCATTATGTTTCCCTTTAAAATGATTAATATTGTTCAGTTATTTCTTTTTTTTTTGTTGATCGATATTAGCTGGAAAACTTGTAACAGGCAAGAAGAATCTTGAGACTCTAATAGTTGCTGGACACACAATGTTTTCTCACTACGGAAATGACGTAGAAAAGTACCTCCAAGTTATTATGAATATTGTAAGTTTGACGAAAATTGGTTGCTATGTTCAGATTGCAAATATATGAATAAAATTAGGACTAGGTTTAAATTTTCTGTGAACTTACGTAGGCCTACTAAAGCTTCCGGTTACCGTACATAAAATCGTTGTATTGCATGCCTGATAATAGAAGGATCAGCAACGATGCATAATATGCTGATGGACTTTATATTTATCTGTAATTGAGGATTTTCAACAGTTTCCATAATTTAGGACGCTTTTAGTCGTGTTCAAATGGCAATTTGAACCGGAATAAGGGAGAGAAAATTCAGAAAACAGCAATAAAATAGAGAACACCATATTCTTCGTTGTCAAATTTCGTCAAAATTCATCATAATGTATTCGTTTAAACGCTCCATTAAATAAAAGAAACTATGCTAGAACAATTTAAGAATAATTACGACCAGGATACATTATAAGCCTAGCCAATTTAAGATAGTAAATGAGTTTAACACATTATATTGTGTTCACGCATATCACATAAAGTCAAAAATAATGTTGTACAAAGAAAAGTTTTTCTTTTAATTATTAATTATTCATTACTTTTACATAGGCTTATTTAATTAATTTTTTGTCACTATAGTTAAATGTATTTTACTACTACGATGTTTTCGAGTAGAGAGTATTTTTCACCATTTTTTTATAATCAAAATATTTATTTTTATTGTCACTATTATCAAAATCATCAACAATGGGATTTATGAAATTTATTGAATTGGTGTAACATGTAGTGTTGCATTATTAGATGATGTTAGTCCGAAAACACATAAAAGCAGCAACAAAAAGAAGAGGAGAGATGACATTTTCCATTAACATTTTCTAAGAAATTTGTTTAAAAACTTAATTAAGATTATTCGATTAAACTCTCCACTTTAGAAAAAGTAACTGCTGTGTGCCTTGTGAATACAGGCGTTTGAAATAGGTACATATTTCTTATAGTAAATTAGTTTTAACACCTTATACCAGCCTTATAACCATTAAATCAAATGTAATTACCTCCGCCACATCTTGGTAGAAAAGTAATTACATTTTATTTCGGAAGATTTTTTTTTAAAAGAAAATAACAAATCAAGAGTATTAATAATTGTTCCTACTTTTAGGTGGCATCTATATTTAGTCAAAACAGCATAGGAGTTGATATGCAATTAACTGTTATCCGGTTCGTTATCATCGAAGAGGAAAGCGTAAGTACAGTCTATGAATACCGTACACTATACCAAGTCAATAGGCTTCTTTATGAATGTTGGAACCTAATTGTTTTATTCCTTTCTTTCACATTCAACAAGTACCGGTACTCATCAATTACAGGATGCAAAATCTATATTTCAAGTTTATGATGAATTGAGTTTTTAGTCGTGAGAGAATTTTTTGGTGTATTACAAAACCTGAACATGAATCCAGTTACGACAAACCGCAAAAATATTAACGACAAACCACACAAGTCCACTCCATTCTCGATATCATACATTTGTTACATTCCAATATTTAAAGACAAATTTAATTGTATAATGCACAGTTGGTATCCAATGTTGAGTTGTAACTATAGTACAGTTTCTAAGCATGGAGGCGACTGTGCCCCCTTGAATCCGCCACTCAACTATGGATCTGAATCTGAAGTTTCCATATTGCCTCTTGTGTTAGTCAGGCTTAAAGAGCACAAGGCATGGGTAATATATTTCTATCCTGTGAATTCTTTAGTTACCGATACTTAAGTAAATGTCATCAGCCCCCCTATTATTTGATTTTCTTTACTGTTTTATTTACTTCAGAATGGGCCAAATTTAAAGCCGGACACGTATGGCCTAGAAGCCCATAATGCACTCAAAAGTTTCTGTGATTGGCATCTAGAGCGTTATAAAGCACTAAACCCAGACGTTGCTGCAATTGTCACAAGGTAAGCTATTATCCTTATTTAGCCTAGTTACTTTCTCGAGCTTTGCTCCATCAATTTACCGGTATAATAAAGTGCACTAGGACGTTATCAGGCCTATCCTCTCCTCTCCGAAGAAGAAGAAAAAGGTATTGTAATAGCTCGCGTATGTGTGTTTGCGTGTCTGTGGTGTATGTGTGTCCTGGGCGCATAACAATAAAACTGCTTTGACTACTTCAGATTTTTACAGGTTTTACAATATTACATATATGTCAATCCTCCTTAAATTTTGAGCTTATCAGAAGTAAGATGCAGATTTTAGAATGTTTATATGCCAGGCCGATCCGATTCGAGCGGACCGACCGCGGGCCAGAGTTGGTATATGTCAAATTCTTGCCTGCGGACTGGAAGCAGTCCCCCGGCGTGCAGACTCGCCTAATGAACTAGTTATTATATGTTCAAATGATGAACAGGCCATTAGGTCAGAAAGGTGAAGGTTATGATAGATAGTAATTATATTCACAATTATTTGTGTTTAGTTGCTCATATTATTAGACCGTTCAGAAAATAATTAATGTTATAGCCCAGTTAATTCAAACGATTTCATCGGCGTTCACATTCGGTAAGTCTGGAGTGCGGTATGTGGAAATAAGTAACGTAAAGTATACTTCAGTTTCCTTTTGCTAAAAGCCTTCTTCACCCGTATTCTAAGCTTCACACCTTGCTCCTTTCCCAAGGGTGAATACTTATGATACCAGATTAAATACTAAATTTACCATATCTTTTTGCAGAACCAAAATATATCAGAACAACCCAGTACAATACATTACATTATTAACTATAATAAACTTAGTCGAATTGTAACTTTTGGTTGTTAAGGTGCTTGCCTTCCAATCCCAGGGTCTTGTAAGAGCACAGGATCTATTCTTATATAGGCCTAGGTCTAATCGTAGGCAGAAACTAAGACTTTACTTTGAATCACAATATCTGCCCTATTATTTTTCAAGGTACGATTTGTATCGTAAATCAGACGATGGATCGATCGACTCAAAAACAACCGGACTTGCAGGTGTGGGAGTTACATGTAACGCTGCCAATCGGTGCTCTATCAACGAGGATAGCGGCCTAGGAACTGCTACTACGATAGCGCACGAGATGGGTCACAAGTAAGATATTTTTAACTTCGTCGTGGCATCGGATGAGGGGGAGGGGTGCAGCTTGTCCGACAGTATGGGGGGAGGAGTGAGAAATTCCCCATGACCCCCGCTGGCACCACCACTGGTTACGCGATATTGTTATTAATGTAACCCTCTTCCTTAATTTCCTAAACATACTTTTTCTGGCCTAAGTAGAATTCCTTGATTGTAACCAAGTGGTACATTACCGTGTTTTTTGGTAATCACTCGTTGATGAACCGTCCATGGTACATACATAAAACACTAATAGATAAAAAGAAATTATGATTCTAATAATATGGAAATTTTTGAATAAGTCTGATTTTTGAAAAGGTTATTGTATCATAATATCACAATATATATATATATATATATATATATACAGTATATATATATATATATACATATACATAAGTATATATATATATACACATAAGTGTATCACTTTAATCCCCTTCATTATATATATATATATATTACATATATAATATAATACAATATCATATATATATATATATATATATATATATATATTCTGTATATAATCATTCTGTAATAGTCTTGGAATGAAACACGACGGCGATAAGAATGACTGTTCTCCAATGAAGAACGTAATGGCGTCTATGACAGCACAAGGAATGGATGGTATGCAGTGGTCAACATGCAGTGCTCACTATCTCAATGTATACCTTCAGTAAGTGAATATTCATTCAAATTCGTTTAGAGAAGGCGAAATAAACATTTACTCACCTTAGTTTCACTTCGGTTGACAGTGTGCATAACTATTCTACCAGATCCAGTTCTGTAGGAAACTTAATTTTGCCCAGTCAGAACTAAATCTGATAAAAGAGGATTTATTTTTAGGGGTACCAAATTTAGAATTCAGGGGGTGCCGTAGGTAATTCGTTTTCTTCATTCGTCTATTTTAATATTTTTTATATTGTTGTTATTCATGTGATTTTATAATGTACCGTAATTGTATGCGTATTGAAAACAAAAATAATAAATAGTCATATAAAATATGTTTATAAGAGTTCCAAATAACATTTAAAAATCATTATCATTGAATGTAAAGAATAAAGTATAATTATTGCAATTATGACTAAAATTATAAATGTTATTATTAATAGATAATGGTAATAATTATTTATTAACATATTAGAGACTTTATATACCGTGGATAACTTCTGAGTTTTTTTTAAATTACCGTATTATTAGAGAACGAGAGGTTAATTGTTTGGACAACAGTAGTCCAGCAGATATTTTTGACATATCATTGAATGGTCGTTTTCCGGGTGAAGTATACAGCACTGATGAACAATGTAAATTCACATTCGAGGACAGTATCGGAGAATGCAATTTCAAGAAGGTAAGATAGGCCTAATGCAAAATCATATATATATATATTAGCTAAATTTAAGCGGCAGTTTGGCGCAGCGGTTGAGGTTCGGAATTTCAATCGTAAGGTCGGGGTTTCGAGTCTCCGCTGTGCAGGTTCGCTTGTGTCCTTGGGCAAGGCACTTTAGCTTTTTGCTTCAGCCCACCCAGCTGTATCAATGGGTACCAGCAAACTGCTGGGGACTAACCTGCGATGGACTAGTGTCCCGTCCAGGGCGAGTACAACTCTCAACCGCTTCACACTACAGAAACTGGGGATAAGCTCCAGCCCTATGAGCCCCAGTGGCTCGGAAAGGATTTGGTTTTGGTTTAAGCTTTAATGTGTGCATAATATCAATTCAATAGACCGATGGTAAACAATCTTGTGACTAATACCAAGCGTTGATTTTAGACGTGTATGGAATTGTGCTCCCCAGGCAGCTAGGATGGCAAAACGTCATAACCACTTGACCACGAAGGCACTGGTGATTCAAGCGTTCGGTAGAATCTGAGTTCTTTTCATTGTTTTAACGTGTCTGACGTTACGATTTTGATAAAGCACTAATCGCACGTGGCCAAACAGAGATCTATTAGATGCGCCCTCTTCTGTGCATTATTTTCAGCTTGCAGGATCTCGAGTGAGATACTTTTGTATATCAATTGATTTAATGATTTAAAGGCATGGAAAAAGAA